CGTATCATTACATTGAAAGCAACATCACCCGTTATGTATAGTCGTACGAGTTGATGAGTATAAAGCGCTTTGATGGAAGGAAAATGTGGGGCGGGCAAGGGGACCTGTCATAACCTATCATAACTATAGAAATACTAGATGGGGACACTTGTTCATGCAAATTCCTTAGGACAAACGTACGTGAGAAACTCATTCATTGTCTATCTATCTCCGGAATATGAAATATTCTGGTAGTTTTCCATTGGATTGTTGAAAAACTCCACCTAAAAGTAGTGCGGCAGATCGAGGTGGATGAATCTGACTTCAAAATACACAAACCTTAGGAAGGATTCTTCTTTCCGTTATGGAATGAGGAGGTACTCTCAGGAGTCAGTCTTTTGCAGTGCGTAGGTACCTCATTTAAACTCAAGCGATAAGGACACTTAGATGATCGAATAGTTAAGACGCATTTTGTAGACTGAACTGTAGGTCGAATCTATGTTCACGGATGGCCTTCAGCTTATCATGCAAGGATTAAAAAACTCGTCCTTATTTCAACTGGCACTTCGTGAGTAGTACTTCGATGAGTCTGTTGTCATTTTGCAAGCGAAATCGTGACAATCAGATGTTAATCAAGTTTCACGTTGAGTTCACTTAGCCACTCGGCAAACATAAGTAGGCACGTTTTCTTTCCAATCCGACGCGAGTTAATCCATGACGGGTTATTATCTAATCTGATCAGAGCTCTACGCCGCGTGTACCACAGTGACCTGAACTCGTGATCATTGGACCCACAGACAAAATTTTTTGTTTGCGATAAGCTTAGATTACATAGTTATTCCGCCTTGTAATTGTTTTTCTATTTTAGACTGAGCAAACATTTAAGTACTTTATACTGATCGAAGGCTTACGTCTGGTTCAGTTAAATTTCTCAATCTTAAACCATGTGTGCGCCTAACCTGGCAGCAGCAGGTTAACTGTGTCAATAAAAGAATACACTGTTGGACTCAGCAGAGCCTCGGCTTCGCTGAATCATTGCATTACCGAGAGTCTTTAATCATTAACAACGCGGAACCCTGGCGCTCGCAATCTGCAGACAGTATGAACGAACATAGCTAAAGCCCCTGGTTTCCACTTCATGTTTTTGTCACCTTGTTCCCTTGCAAACAGGGCGAACTTGGGCAAACAGGGTAGGAAGAGGCCAAAACGATGAGGCCACAAGACGCACATGACAAGTCAGCACAGTTGTTTGAGGCGTAGGGAGCAGCAGTACACTGAATATGCTCGATAGTTTCGTTGTGCGATTCTTTGATGTCAATAAAAGACAGGTGAGCATCCAGGCTCTTTTGGTTTCCAGTGTACGATTTCTAGCACTAAACCAGTACTGGACACATTGCGCTGCGTGATGGAGCAAAGTGAATTCTGCATGTGTCTAGGGTTTTTGATCGATCAGTGCATTCGGTCTCATCTCGCATCGAACTCCAATGACACCGAGCATTGCAGCCTGGTAGAGCAACGTGAAATACCACTGTTGTCGGGTTGAACTGATCTATTTCATCCAATAAATGGTGAATTGAAGCGTGCTGGAAAGAGCGGTATGTAAAATTACGCACTCTCTGACATGAGTAATTTACAACAGTCCTTCGTGGGGTATTTGATGCAACAACGGGTCAAATCACTGTACGGACGTACTTTCAAGTTTTATGTACAGGCAAACCCTAAGCAGTTCATGTGACTTTTCCGGAAATAGGACGTTTACTGTTTCTTTCGTTCCAAGTTTAATGAAGGATCCAATTTTCATGTCAGGTCCATTTTTTTCACATCTCTGTTTCGGATGCAAACCTGATTCCTAAGTTTGTTGAATTGACTTCAGTCTAGTCTGTTCTTATCAAATAACAACGACGCTGCCTCCTTATTTTCCCCGTAGGACCTTTAGTTTTGAACTTATTCCTTAGGCTAACTCCACGACAGAAATTTATTTTCCTATGGGGCTGAATGCCAAAATTGGTTAGCAGCTATCTTACTCCACGCATTCAGATCTTGCAGGAGGTAATGCTAACTTCATTTCTATCACCAGTTCCTTAGTTCATCACGTTTGCTGTTCAACAAGAGTCACCAGTCAAGACGGTGACACCTTCTTACGGCATTCATTGTTTCTTTCTTATTGACTGAAAAACGAAGTGCTTTTTCCCGTGCACCCATATATTTGCAGCCATAATCACTCTTTCAAGTCTAATTTGTAGGTGACACTCTTCTGGTGATTGCTAGCTCGTCCGAAATTCCTCAGCTTTCAAGAGAGAGCCACGAGCATTTGTTATGGCACTGAGAACCTAGTCTCATCAAATTTTTGAGCCAAACAAACAAACATCAACAACATGCGAAATACACTCATTTGCAAACCAATTCGGTTTTGCGAGAGACTCACCTGGAATCCAGCTGAAACTCTTGACTTTTTGTGATGTTTCCAGGCAGCTAAATGTGCTGCACGAGGCCGCCTCAAGTTCTAGTTGCTACGATATTCGAGATATCGCGAAATATGTATATTTGTAATAACGAGAGATTCAGCTGGGTTCCAGGTGAGTCTCTCGTAAAACCAAATTTGTTTGCAAATGAGTATATTGCGCTATTTCCGTGCAGTTCGGTTTCACGCAGAACATAAGGTTGACGGAAACTCTGGGACTGCGCTTACTTGATGAACCTTAAGACGGGAGAAACCGGTCGTGGGCAGTCGAAGAATTTTCAGCCACCTCATGAGTGGTGCATTACGAATCAACAACATGGTTTGCAAAGCATCCTTCTTTCTGGTAAAAAGAAGAATATCGTGTGCAAGCAGTAACGGATTCATCCCTTTTCTTAGACGAGCTGATTGGTTACTGTACAACCATACATCCATACAATTGTACAACCGTAACTGACAGAATCGGACGGGTGTTTTGGCTGATATGCTATCCGAAGATAAGAACAGAAGGAGGTCGCTAATTATGGAGTCTGGTCAAGGCAGTCGGTTGTATGCTTGGTACGTCGCGTCCCTCTTCATATTCGACTTAGGGTTCCTTGAGGTGTTTACTTCTCATATTGAAACATATACCGATGGCACTCCCTGAGTATTTCTACTGAAGGAGAGCAGAATTTTAATACAAAGAATTCTTTGCTTACACCGAAGGATTTCACGGCTGCTTATCCTCCTTCATTAGCCTGCTTTTCGGTGCCTGTGGTCATTATGAGGAATATCAAACCTTGACACTTCTGGACCAGCTGATCTAGGCGGTATCCCTGGGGTCTATTCCATAATTATGTTCCAGGAATCGCTCTATTCACATGAACGCTTGCGGTAATTTGATTTTTCTGGAAGTGAATTCATACGCCCTACCTTCCGTGAACAACAAACTACAGAGTACCTCCTAGTCTTAATTTCGCTTGCCTTGCTTTGTTTTACCACCTATGATACTCATCGGAAGTAGCATCTGTCGCCTTCTCGCACCCATGGTTCCATATCCACTTTGGATCCCCCGCCACAGAAGAGTCTGTATCTATAACTCTTCTTTAACTCCCTCTCCCTCCAACTTACGACCTTTAACACTTGGAGCACCGAGCAGATATCTATTTAATTAACCAACCATGATATCTGTTAATTCGTGTGCGTCTTTGCGAGTCATACTTACTACCATTATTATATTCTAGTCTAGGGGTCTGGAATGATCCTTCATGTTCATGTAATTTGCATTCCCCAACTTGATGAATCTATTACCTACAGCGCTGTGAAAGCAAAGGAATTTCGGTTTTTGATGTACAAAAAGGCGAAGCGGTCACCTTGTTACAGATCACAGCCCTAAACAGCTTATTTTTCTTCTCCGAGTGTTTTTTATCAGCGTTAACAAAACCACCAGTGATTAGTACCTCGACAAGGGATTATAGAAAATAAATAATCTGGCCACCGCCATTGGTTTTGCGACTAATCTGAAATCGCCACTGAGTCGTTGTACGCAGCGTGTGTGTAAACGCATTCTGGTCTACATGCTGATCAACCATTTCGGGATTGTTCCCGATCTACGGTGCACCGTACGGTTCCAATTGGATTATAGTTCTATTCTCCTATCACTAAAAGTCTCTCCTAATAACCACTGCTGAATTGAACAGTCTTTCGAAGCCAAATATGTTCCAGTCTCATTTTGTCCCATATTCATTTGTCTTGTTTCTATTTAAGGTGTTTTGTACAATGCGCTACGCTTTTGATGGATAGCATCGATCCCAATAAATTCATCCTTAAGGACAACGAAAGCATGGAATTGATCTAGCATTCCACTGGATATAGCCAATTAATCAAAGAGATTTAGTCCGGAACAGTTCAGACTTGCTTGAAGTAGCATTGAACTTAGGCTTCGGTGTTATAACAGCTCATCAACAACGCATATGCCACAGCTTTGCTTAACAAATCCTACATTGAGCAAATTAATGATAACCAACAATCAGGAAGTTTTCCTTAATTCCGTGGAACTGAAGAAAACTCATGAAATACCGAACCTATTTAATATCACTTCGCCACTTGTGTTTAGACACTGCTCTGTGGAATAAACTGGAGGCGAAGTACTTTCGTGAGTGCATTTTACCAAATCAGGGTAAGAGTAAATCTAAAATCAAAACTCACCCAAGTATAGGATGTACGGATGGATCCATAGACTGGGTAAAGAGGCGTCCGACCACTATCCACCCTAAGAATGCTTCGAAAGTTGGTTCACTCAGCGTACTGTTTGCACAGTCACACAATGGATCGGTCCATTGTGTTGTGGTAGGCCATGGAGCTGAAAACTGAGTACTCGAATCAGTCCGAAAATCACTAAGGCCATCACGTTTGGATCATCCGGGCACGTGCACCTCTGGGTCAGTTGATTGGTCCAGCCAGCCAATCAGCTGACAGTGATTGTTGCACGTGACACCGCAGACCAGAACTTTGTTGCTTATTTTGGATTAGCGCAACGAAACCGAACAAGTGAGTTCCAACAGATGCATTTAAGGTTTGTGGGGACACAGATCGATATGGAATCAGTTAAACCGCTTAACACTAGGAGTACCAGAAATTTTCCGAACCAAGAAAGCTAAATTAGAAGGAGAACCTGCACCGTACAAGGAATAATAGCATAATTTGCAGGTTGCTGAATTTTACTGGCCGCTTCTTACTTCTAACTGTTTCGGCGGCACCTGGGTTCGTACCAACTTACGACAGAAAACAAATGGATTTCGCCAGCTTGATTTTAGACGTTTAAGGTGCAGCTATATTAGAGCACCAGTGGTAGTTACCTTCAGCACTTATCTAAATGTTTATTCCACATTGACCTGATTCATTCATTTAGAATGAATACTACCAGCCGATTATAGGCTCCTAGTGACATCAACAGTTAGTCAGAGTTCAAGGTAAAATTTGGTATATGAACAACTCCGAAGTTTTTACCACTGTTTTCAGAAACAAACTGTACATAGACAAATAAGTTTTCGTATATTCTGCATGGATATTACTCTCGCCAAACCGGTTGTACCTTTCCGATTCACAAAAGCTCCATGGAGTTATCGTTCCATCTAAACAAAACCATGGGACTGGCAACGGTTAGCTGGTTGCAAAGATCACCTAATACATCAACAGCCACCATTTTTAGTGAAGCAGCTAGTGCGAATGCCCATTCATTTCTTGTTCCGTGCAGAGACTGAATAGCAACCGGCTCCCGATTTTCAACCTCCCATGTTGTAGGTATCCAGTTCAGTGGCACTACTGAAGTTGTGTTGAAATCATGTGTTGGCTACATGACAGTAAACAAATACGTTTCTATTGGAATTGTATCGCGTTGTCACTGAGAGCTCCCGACTGCAAAGCTGAACAACAACGAAGCTCGGAACTGCAAGTGATAAGGCACTTGATGAGGCCATCGCAACTAAACCGCTGAGCGGATTTGGATGAACCTTATGAATAGGGGATTATCATAGAAGGGATATTAGCGATCGGACGGGTCGATATCTTGTCCACAACGGATATTCACGTAAAAAAATTAGGAACATCACAGGTTAAAAGAAAACGCTAGCATTTGGGTTGTCGTAGTGTGGTCTGATTCTGTAGGCTACCGGAACTACGGGATGTTTTCACCTTTCATATGACATGTTGCGCTGTTTTGCTTGACGAAGTCAAAAGGACGACGCATAATATTTGTTACAAAAACCGGAATTTGTCGCACTGACACTTTGCACGTCCAATCATAAAGCAGAAATTTGTTCTACAACTTTGAGGTTACTTATTTGCCTAGCTAGACAACTCGAGTCCTCTGGATATAATAACCTGTGTTGTCGATTACAAAACCAGAATACATTTCTGTAAACGGCACATTAATAACTGGTCTTCGACTACTTCGGATATTACACTCAGCTTCCGGAACCCATTTTCGCTAATCGATCGGGAAAACCGATTCAAAAAATTCCCAATAAACTAGCCCTTGCAGCATTCCTATGACGTGTTTTCGTTCCTGAAGTCCTCCCTAAGATTCGGCATCAAAATGGTCTCGGAAGGTTATAGAAATCCTTATTCTCATTTAGGGGTAGCCCATTATGGGCACACACGGTTATCGATCATTCCTCTAGTCTTGTCGAATTAATGAGCTACACATTGGATTGATTATATCATTCTGTATTTAGATGATTGATGGCTGTTCACTGGCAAATGTCTTTGTTCGGCAATCAGAGGCAGTGAGATTCAAACACAACACCAGCGATTTCATCCTTTTTCGTCACACAGGCATAGTCATAACAGCTGTGACAAGAATTGTGCTTATAGAGATGTTGCAACAATGTTTGAAGGGCGGCGAAAGTTCAGTCAACAGCACCTGGAGATCCTAGAGTTGGTCATTTCAGAAAGCCAGAATCAAAAGCGACCACCACAGATTTCTTTCAGGATGACAGACTAGGACGCAAACCAAGGACTGAGAAAGGTTATCGATCAGTGGCACGGTGTGATTCTTTACTTGGTCGGTGAAGCGGTTCTAAGTGACTTCATGACATTACAGAGCCACACAGCTTTAGAGCATTCTGTCGATAAGCAACAGACATTGTGGACACGTTCTATGCGCTGGCCATTTGACGACCGAGCTACTGACCCTTGCTCAAACTTTGGGCAGCTGTTTAATGATCACAGGGTCACTAATAGAGAACGATTTATAACCCGAAGTCCGAGTACTTCGTGTTATCAGATGAAAATGCAGTGAAATTTGCCAAGAATGTTATCTTCACAGGCGTATACGTATTGATGATGCTCGCATTGTCGATTGGAGCAGTAGGGAGACGAGGATCGATGATCTTTTAACATTTTGTTTTATCTAATCAACCGTATAGTAAAAAAACTAATATATAACATGAAATGGCAGACGGTGACTCTTAGTAGATGAACTGATCAAACTCTATTTCAACTCTAACAGGACCTAACGGGGCATGTCAAGGTCATTTTTACGCATCGACACGGTCGATATTGACTGATTAGCGAGGCCTCACTGAAAGTTATCAGTTTCAAATTGACTGATTGCTCTGGGGTCAGCAAGGCGACTGGACAAGGCTCGGACGAGCTTCGCAATCGATGAGGAAATTTTGCAACTTTGAACGTGCCTCGCCTTGATCGATTGCTTTGTCCGCTCATTCAGGCAGTGAGGCACATGCCCCGAGACATGTCCATGTGAACTGTGGTTCATTCTGCCCACGTAAGCACTTTAGTCAGTATCAGGTGTACTGACAAACGAACCAGGTGCCCCGGTCACTACTTGTGTACACAATGAACAAAGCAACCTTGAGGTTCTAAGATGACCTGAATGACTGAAGTCGGTAGATGTTTCGCAGCTCAAAAACCTGAATGACGTGGTTAGATCAGCAACTGACATTTAGTTTCCCAAGGAGGATTACCGTGAAACTGCTGATGGAGGAAATACTTGTAGCTCAGGTTGTATAGATAATATCGGTAACTCCAGTGTGGAAAGTTTACAGCCAAAATACTCAGCTTAGGGAACAAACGAAATGTCGCAACCGTAGGCACAGTATAACACACGCCTGGAGGGACTGAACATCTCAGTTTTGGGTGTGGCTGAAATAAAGGATTCAAGTAAACTTTCTGCGGTAATGCTCCGGCCTAAGCAAGTTCACTCAAACTGGTTGGAGGATTATCTCCTTTCCCGGGGTAAACCGTGATATTCAGGTCGCGGAAGTTAGACCAGATGCACAGCTTGATTCCTTAGAGGTACATCGTTTACATATTGAGCGTAGCTGTCTGATGCAACCATCGGTAAAAGGATAGATGCAGTGCTTCGGAAATGGGAAACTTAGTGAGGTCTATGCTGCCAAGCAAACGGAATCGTTTAGCGATTCTATGGAACTGGATAACACCGAGGTAAGTCCGATAATGACTGAAGCGGTCACATAGATCAGTTTAAAGTAACAATACCTCCTTTGGCAGAATAGTGCATTGGTGGTATCTTAAAACGGTCTTCAATTTTTACGAGAGATCTCATCTAACAGTTGGATGCAGCCTGTGCTACATAAACCAACGAGCCCTGTACAACTGCCATCCTTTTGGGTAACAAGGTGAAACTCTTATTTTTCTCAAAACAAATATTTTCAGTTTATGAACAAATGTTTTGGTTGATTCGAAGTTTGTTTACCTGATGTAACATCCTTTGGATGTAGTACTTTTCAATACCACGAAAGGAACAATGCCGATAAACAACTAATTTTATTGACCCTTTGGTTGACGTAAATATTTCGCCACAACTCCTCTAAAAATAGACTCCACAAAGAGTTACAGTGAGCATTCTCTCCTTACAAGCGAGTTTTGCATTTTGCCTTACATGTAGTCCCCATTACAAACTATAATTTTACTCTGAATAATTCAGAAAAGCCAGTTGCAATCCAACCCAAAAAGAACTCCGCTATGCCCCGCGGCTACCACTACAAAGTTGCTTCAATTTCTTATTATATTCCAAAACACTGGCAACGAAAGTTGGATCAGTACCAAGCCCACGAATAAGTGAGTGTTGACCAGTTCGTTCAAGTATTTCCAGGAGAAAATAAGTAGACTCCACATGGAGAAGAAACTACTGAAACGTTACCTGGGAAACTCGCTTTTTGCATAATATTTACCGCAGTGCCATTCTGATCGATTTAGTCCAGTAGATGTCGAAGGAGGTATTTCCTTAGGTTCACTTTGAGGCTTGGATTATAGTAGTATTTTATGGTTCATTTTAGAGCCAAAAGAAATCCAAATGTTTTCAAGTGATGTCAGTTTTCGTAACCAAATCACTCTTATTTGAACAGTTCTGCTCTTATCCAGCTCCCATTAGTTCGGTTCACCCGCAACACTGCGGGGAAAACGTTAACTTGGAGCTTGTTTGTAACAAAGCGTCACCATTGAAATCTAACTTTTTGACGTAGATTTGGTATAATTTAGCTCAAGTACTGTTCTCTAATAAGAGTGAACCCACAGTGCAGTTTCGCCAAGTCGTCCGGCCGATGCTTACAAACAGCTCTTTACCAAACATCAAATTTGTTGTTGTAGTGTCTCTCCAGTAGTTATGATATCACTTCAATGAAATTGGAGAATCCTTTTTTGGCCATCTTGGATTCTGAGTGAAAGTACTCCCATAATGAAACTGTGCGTTCATCAAAGGTTTCATCTAGTGATGCATAAAGCTGTTAAATCCTGCTGTCACGAGACAAAAAATGTTGATTTTTAGACGAAAATGACCAGTTTAAAGTAGCAGCCCCAGGTGA